GAATGGGGCGGGGTGACGGAAAGAGGGAGAATGGGGCGGGGTGATGGAAAGAGGGAGAATGGGGCGGGGTGATGGAAAGAGGGAGAATGGGGCGGGTGATGGAAAGCGGGAGAATTGGGCGGGGTGATGGAAAGAGGGAGAATGGGGCAGGGTGATGGAAAGAGGGAGAATGGGGCGGGGTGATGGAAAGAGGGAGAATGGGGCGGGGTGATGGAAAGCGGGAGAATGGGGCGGGGTGATGGAAAGCGGGAGAATGGGGCGGGTGATGGAAAGCGGGAGAATGGGTCGGGGAGATGGAAAGAGGGAGAATGGGGCGGGGTGATGGAAAGCGGGAGAATGGGGCGGGGTGATGGAAAGCGGGAGAATGGGGCGGGGTGCTGGAAAGCGGGAGAATGGGGCGGGGTGATGGAAAGCAGGAGAATGGGGCGGGGTGATGGAAAGCAGGAGAATGGGGCGGGGTGATTGAAAGTGAGAGAATGGGGCGGGGCGATGGAAAGCGGGAGAATGGGGCGGGGTGATGGAAAGCGGGAGAATGGGGCGGGGTGCTGGAAAGCGGGAGAATGGGGCGGGGTGATGGAAAGCGGGAGAATCGGGCGGGGTGATGGAAAGCGGGAGAATGGGGCGGGGTGATGGAAAGCGGGAGAATGGGGCGGGGTGATGGAAAATGGGAGAATGGGGCGGGTGATGGAAAGCGGGAGAATGGGGCGGGGTGATGGAAAGCGGGAGAATCCGGCGGGGTGATGGAAAGCGGGAGAATGGGGCGGGGTGCTGGAAAGCGGGAGAATGGGGCGGGGTGATGGAAAGCGGGAGAGTGAGACGGGGTGCTGGAAAGCGGGAGAATGGGGCGGGGTGATGGGAATTGTATAATTTTAAGGAAATGGGAATACATATGGTATTCTCTGTATTTGTACAGAGAGAATAATACGTCGGCTGGTAAGGTCAGTATGCACGCTTATATGTAGGTACAAGGCGGAGCTGGAACTCTGAAATCTTCCAAACTATGTGGATCGAAAAGGTTATAACCAAGTGTTGTTGAAGTAGAAGGCCTAATCTAGTGAACTGACATGAATATGGTACTAACTGCATTTCTAGAAACATAAGTAATGCGCTGGTCAGTTTGGTCGGTATGCGCGCCTGTAGTGCAGGTACCATGTACGACTGGAATGTCTATATCTGCCAAATTACATAGATCCGATAGGTTAAAACATGGTAGGGGGTGGGGAATGGTATACTTTAAAGTAAATGGGAATACATATGGTATTCACTGTCTTTGTACAGAGAGAATAATGTGTCGGCCGGTAAGGTCAGTATGCACGCTTGTGTGTAGGTACAAGGCGGAGCTGGAACTCTGAAATCTCCTAAATTATGTGGATTGTAAAGGTTATAACCTAGTGTTGTTGAAGTAGAAGGCCTTATCTAGTGGATTGGCAAGAATATGGTGTAACTGCATCTCTACAAACGTAAGTAATGCGCTGGTCAGTTTGGTCGTTATGTGCGCCTGTAGTGCAGGTACCATGCATGACTAGAATGTCTATATCTGCCAAATTACATAGATCCGATAGGTTAAAACATGATAGGGGGGTGGGGAATGGTATAATTTAAATTAAATGGGAATACATATGGTATTTGCTGTATTTGTACAGAAATAATAAAGCGTCGGCCGGTAAGGCCAGTATGCACGCTTGTGTGTAGGTACAAGGCGGAGCTGGAACTCTGAAATCTCCCAAACTATGTGGGTCGGAAAGGTAATAATCTAGTGTTGTTGAAGTAGAAGGCCTAATATATGTCAGAATCCCAACCACTAGACCATTGGGATAAAAGGGCTTGTTAAGTAGCGGGTCAGTGCGCCCATAACCCCCCATGACAACGAGCCTGTAACCCTTCCCTAGGATCAATCGGGGATCACCAGTGGACCTCTGACACCCCCCCGCACTGGGATGCCCGAAGTGCACACACTGGGATTCGAACCCGAGACCTTCGCTCTGATACCATGTCAGAATCCCAACCACTAGACCATTGGGATAAAAGGGCTTGTTTGTGTAGCGGGTGAGTGCGCCCATAACCCCCAGGCCGACGTGCCTGTAACCCTTCCCTAGGATCAATCGGGGATCACCAGTGGACCTTTGACACCTCTGATACCATATCACAATAGTAGTTGAGGGGCCTAGGGTTTGACCTAGGCGAGAGTGACGAGAGAGTTGAAAAGGAGAATGGGTGAATAATAGAAGGCATACAAGATATAGTCAAGGAAATGGGCAAATGGTGCACCACCAAGCAGGAGACTATATAACTACACTAAACTCTAATGTAGGCATTTATAAATGTATATGAATACATTTCAACACACCCCCTAAATGCCTACAGCTAGAACCGTGTGCAGTACACATCCTGCAGGGGTACACCAAGTGCAGAGAAAGCAGCAGCAACAGACAAAGTAACAGAGCAGGTACAGCAGCAAAGGGGGGGGGGGGCAGGTACTCCTGCCACCCCTTTACTCTCAGCTGCAGCAGTGGGAACGAAAGGAGGAGGAGGGGAAGGGGAGACCACACACCCGCCACCCCAATGCCACTCCCCTGGCTCCCCCACACCCTCACACCCTCCCCCCCTGCGGCAGCTGCAGCAGTGGGAACGAAAGGAGGAGGGGGGGGGGGCCGACGCGCGGCCTCCCAGGGCGCCAAAGCAGGCGGCAGAAGGGGCGACGCTCGCCCCCCCCCCCCCCAGGTCGCCCCTCCCGTCGCCTGTCGAGGCGACCTGAGGGGGCCGCGTGCGGCCCCCCAGGGAGCCGCAACGGGCGACGGGAAAAAGAGGGGGGGGCGGTGCACGTGCCCCCGGTGCGCCGCGACAGGCGACGGAGCATGGCTGGGGCGGGGCCGGGGCAGGGTCGAGGCAGGGTCGGGGCATAGCAGGGTGAGGGCCGCGATAGGGCCGCGACAGGGTCAGGGCAGGGCCGGGGTCGGGGCAGGTCCGGGACGGGGCCGCGACAGGGTCGGGGCAGGGCCGTACCGAGGGGCCGATAGGGGCGGCGACGGGGCCGCGAAGGGGCCGCGAGGGGGCCTGGAAGGGCGGCGACGGGCCGGTAAAGGCGGCGACGGGGCCGCAAAGGGGCCGCGAAGGGCCTGGAAGGGCGGCGACGGGGCCGCGAAGGGGGCCGCGAGGGGCCACTAAGGGTCTCGCGAGGGGCACGCCACGGGGCGTGCAGTACACAGAGTAGCAGCGGAAGCAACAGGCCAGGAACGTAGTTTGCTCTGATAGCATATCACAATAGTAGTTGAGGGGCCTAGGGTTTGACCTAGGCGAGAGTGACGAGAGAGTTGAAAAGGAGAATGGGTGAATAATAGAAGGCATACAAGATATAGTCAAGGAAATGGGCAAATGGTGCACCACCAAGCAGGAGACTATATAACTACACTAAACTCTAATGTAGGCATTTATAAATGTATATGAATACATTTCAACAATATAGTGGACTGCCAAGAATATGGCACTAACGTCATCTCTACAAGCATACATAATGCGCTGGTCAGTTTGGTCCGTATGCGCGCCTGTAGTGCAGGTACCATGTACGACTGAAATGTCTTTATCTACCAAATTTCATAGATCCGTTAGGTTAAAACATGGTAGGGGGATGGGTAATGGTATCATTTAAAGGAAATGGGAATACACATGGTATTCACTGTATTTGTACGGAGAGAATAATGAGTCGGCTGGTAAGGTCAGTATGTACGCTTGTGTGTAGGTACAAGGCGGAACTAGAACACTGAAACCTCTTAAATTATGTGGATCGGAAAGGTTATACCCTAGTGTTGTTGAAGTATAAGGCAAGAATATGGTACTAACTGCATCTCTACAAACATAAGTAATGCGCTGGTCAATTTGGTCGCTATGCGCGCCTGTAGTGCAGATACCATGTACGACTGGAATACCTATATCTGTCAAATTACATAGATCCGATAGGTTAAAACATGGTACGGGAGTGGGGAATGGTATAATTTAAAAGGAAATGGGAAAACATATGGTATTCACTATATTTGTACAGAGAGAATAATGTCTCAGCTGGTAAGGTCAGTATGCACGCTTGTGTGTAGGTACAAGGCGGAACTGGAACTCTGAAATCTCCCAAATTATGTGGAACGGAAAGGTTATAACCTAGTGTTGTTGAAGTACAAGGCCTAATCTAATGGACTGCCAAGAATATGGCACTAACTGTATCTCTACAAACATACGTAATGCGCTGATCGGTTTGGTCGGTATGCGCGCCTGTAGTGCAGGTACCATGTACGACGAAAATGTTTTTATCTGCCAAATTACATTGATCCGATAGGTTAAAACATGGTAGGGGGGTGGAGAAATGGTATAATTTAAAGTAAATGGGAATACATACGGTAGTCACTGTATTTGTACAAAGAGAATAATGCGTCGGCCGGTAAGATCAGTATGCACGCTTGTGTGTAGGTACAAGGCGGAGTTTTGTTGAAGTAGAAGGCCTAATTCTCAATTCTCTCAAATTTTGTGGATCGGAAAGGATATAACCAAGTTTTGTTGAAGTAGAAGGCCTAATCTAGTGAACTGTTAAGAATATGGTACAAACTGCATCTCTACAAACAGAAGTAATGCGCTGGTCAGTTTGGTCGGTATGCGCGCCTGTAGTGCAGGTACCATGTATGACTGGAATGTCTATATCTGCCAAATTACATAGATCCGATAGGTTAAAACATGGTAGGCGGGTGGGGAATGGTATCATTTAAAGGAAATGGGAATACATGTGGTATTCACTGTATTTGTACAAAGAGAATAATGTGTCGGCTCGTAAGGTCAGTATGCACGCTTCCCGTGTAGGTACAAGGCAGAACTGGAACTCTGAAATTTCGCAAATTATGTGGATCCGAAAGGTTATAACCTAGTGTTGATGAAGTAGAAGGCCTAATCTAGTGGAGTGGCAAGAATATGGCACTAACTGCATCTCTACAAACATACGTAATGCGCTGGTCAGTTTGGTCGCTATGCGCGTCTGTAGTGCAGGTACCATGTACGACTGGAATGTCTATATCTGCCAAATTACATAGATCCGCTAGCTCCTTTTCACTGCTGCCAACTCCCTCTCCCTCTCCTTAACCTGCCCTCTCATCTCCTTCATATCCGCTACTCGTCCTTGCTCAGCCTCCTTCAATCCCTTCTTCGACTCTATCATCTGCCCCATAACAGCCTCCACTCTCTCACCTAGGGTCTGCTCCACCGTTAACAGCCGCTCCTCCACCCCGCCCCATTCTCCCTCTTTCCATCACCCCGCCCCATACTCCCTCTTTCCATCACCCCGCCCCATTCTTCCGCTTTCCATCACCCCGCCCCATTCTCCCTCTTTCTATCACCCCGCCCCATTCTCCCTCTTTCCATCACCCCGCCCCATTCTCCCTCTTTCCATAACCCCACCCCATTCTCCCGCTTTCCATCACCCCGCCCCATTCTCCCGCTTTCCATCACCCCGCCCCATTCTCCCGCTTTCCATCACCTCGCCCCATTCTCCCGCTTTCCAGCACCCCGCCCCATTCTCCTGCTTTCCATCACCCCACCCCATTCTCCCGCGTTCCTGCACCCCGCCTCATTCTCCCGCTTTCCATCACCCCGCCCGATTCTCCCACTTTCCATCACCCCGCCCATTCTCCCGCTTTCATCACCCCGCCCCATTCTCCCACTTTCCATCACCCCGCCCCATTCTCCCGCTTTCCAGCACCCCGCCCCATTCTCCCGCTTTCCATCACCCCGCCCCATTCTCCCGCTTTCCAGCACCCCGCCCCATTCTCCCGCTTTCCATCACCCCGCCCGATTCTCCCGCTTTCCATCACCCCGCCCCATTCTCCCGCTTTCCATCACCCCGCCCCATTCTCCCGCTTTCCATCACCCCGCCCCATTCTCCCTCTTTCCATCACCCCGCCCCATTCTCCCGCTTTCCATCACCCACCCCATTCTCCCGCTTTCCATCACCCCGCCCCATTCTCCCGCTTTCCATCACCCCGCACCATTCTCCCCTTTCCATCACCCCTCCCCATTCTCCCGCTTTCCATCACCCGCCCCATTCTCCCGCTTTCCATCACCCCACCCCACTCTCCCTCTTTCCATCACCCCGCCCCATTCTCCCGCTTTCCATCACCCCGCCCTATTCTCCCGCTTTCTATCACCCCGCCCCATTCTCCCGCTTTCCATCACCCCGCCCCATTCTCCCTCTTTCCATCACCCCGCCCTATTCTCCCTCTTTCCATAACCCCGCCCCATTCTCTCGCTTTCCATCACCCCGCCCCATTCTCCCGCTTTCCATCACCCCGCCCCATTCTCCCGCTTTCCATCACCCCGCCCCATTCTCCCGCTTTCCAGCACCCCGCCCCATTCTCCCTCTTTCCATCACCCCGCCCCATACTCCCTCTTTCCATCACCCCGCCCCATTCTTCCGCTTTCCATCACCCCGCCCCATTCTCCCTCTTTCTATCACCCCGCCCCATTCTCCCTCTTTCCATCACCCCGCCCCATTCTCCCTCTTTCCATAACCCCACCCCATTCTCCCGCTTTCCATCACCCCGCCCCATTCTCCCGCTTTCCATCACCCCGCCCCATTCTCCCGCTTTCCATCACCTCGCCCCATTCTCCCGCTTTCCAGCACCCCGCCCCATTCTCCTGCTTTCCATCACCCCACCCCATTCTCCCGCGTTCCTGCACCCCGCCTCATTCTCCCGCTTTCCATCACCCCGCCCGATTCTCCCACTTTCCATCACCCCGCCCATTCTCCCGCTTTCATCACCCCGCCCCATTCTCCCACTTTCCATCACCCCGCCCCATTCTCCCGCTTTCCAGCACCCCGCCCCATTCTCCCGCTTTCCATCACCCCGCCCCATTCTCCCGCTTTCCAGCACCCCGCCCCATTCTCCCGCTTTCCATCACCCCGCCCGATTCTCCCGCTTTCCATCACCCCGCCCCATTCTCCCGCTTTCCATCACCCCGCCCCATTCTCCCGCTTTCCATCACCCCGCCCCATTCTCCCTCTTTCCATCACCCCGCCCCATTCTCCCGCTTTCCATCACCCACCCCATTCTCCCGCTTTCCATCACCCCGCCCCATTCTCCCGCTTTCCATCACCCCGCACCATTCTCCCCTTTCCATCACCCCTCCCCATTCTCCCGCTTTCCATCACCCGCCCCATTCTCCCGCTTTCCATCACCCCACCCCACTCTCCCTCTTTCCATCACCCCGCCCCATTCTCCCGCTTTCCATCACCCCGCCCTATTCTCCCGCTTTCTATCACCCCGCCCCATTCTCCCGCTTTCCATCACCCCGCCCCATTCTCCCTCTTTCCATCACCCCGCCCTATTCTCCCTCTTTCCATAACCCCGCCCCATTCTCTCGCTTTCCATCACCCCGCCCCATTCTCCCGCTTTCCATCACCCCGCCCCATTCTCCCGCTTTCCATCACCCCGCCCCATTCTCCCGCTTTCCAGCACTCCGCCCCATTCTCCCGCTTTCTAGCACCCCGCCCCATTCCCCCGCTTTCCATCACCCCGCCCCATTCTCCTTCTTTCCATCACCCCGCCCCATTCTCCCTCTTTCCATCACCCCGCCCCATTCTCCCGCTTTCCATCACCCCGCCCCATTCTCCCTCTTTCCATCACCCCGCCCCATTCTCCCTCTTTCCATAACCCCGCCCCATTCTCCCTCTTTCCATCACCCCGCCCCATTCTCACGCTTTCCATAACCCCCCCCCATTCTCCCGCTTTCCATCACCCAGCCCCATTCTCCTGCTTTCCATCACCCCGCCCCATTCTCCCGCTTTCCAGCGCCTCGCCCCATTCTCCCGCTTTCCATCACCCCGCCCCATTATCCCGCTTTCCATCACCCCGCCCCATTCTCCCGCAAACATCTCCCCTCGAAACGTCTCCCGACCCGCGCGCGCCCCGCAAACGTCTCCCCCCGAAACGTCTCCCGACCCGCGCGCGCCACGCAAACGTCTCCCCCCGAAACGTCTCCCGCTCGCGCGCACCTTCTCCGGACCCGCGCGCGCCCCGCAAACGTCTCCCCCCGAAACGTCTCTCGCTCGCGCGCACCTTCTCCAGACCCGCGTGCGCCCCGCAAACGTCTCCCCCCGAAACGTCTCCCGACCTGCGCGCGCCCCGCAAACGTCTCCCCCCAAAACGTCTCCCGCTCGCGCGCACCTTCTCCGGATCCGCGTGCGCCCCGCAAACGTCTCCCTTCGAAACGTCTCCCTACCCGCGCGCGCCCCGCAAACGTCTCCCCCCGAAACGTCTCTCACTCGCGCGCACCTTCTCCGAACCCGCGCGCGCCATGCAAACGTCTCCCCCCGAAACGTCTCCCGACCCGTGCGCGCCCCGCAAACGTCTACCCCCGAAACGTCTCCCGCTCGCGTGTACCTTCTCCGGACCCGCGCGCGCCCCGCAAACGTCTCCCCCCGAAACGTCTCCCGGCCCGCGCACGCCACGCAAACGTCTCCCCCCAAAACGTCTCCCGCTCGCGCGCACCTTCTCCGGACCCGCGCGCGCCCCGCAAACGTCTCCCCCCGAAACATCTCTCGCTCGCGCGCACCTTCTCCGGACCCGCGTGCGCCTCGCAAACGTCTCCCCCCGAAACGTCTCCCGACCCGCGCGCGCCCCGCAAACGTCTCTCCCCAAAACGTCTCCCGCTCGCGCGCACCTTCTCCGGATCCGTGCGCGCCCCGCAAACGTCTCCCCCCGAAACGTCTCCCAACCCGCGCGCGCCCCGCAAACGTCTCCCTCCGAAATGTCTCCCGCTCGCGCGCACCTTCTCCGAACCCGCGCGCGCCCCGCAAACGTCTCCCCCCGAAACGTCTCCCCACCCGCGCACGCCCCGCAAACGTCTCCCCCCGAAACGTCTCGCGCTCGCGCGCACCTTCTCCGGATCCGAGCGCGCCCCGCAAACGTCTCCCCCCGAAACGTCTCCCGACCCGCGCGCGCCCCGCAAACGTCTCCCCCCAAAACGTCTCGCGCTCGCGCGCACCTTCTCCGGATCCGAGCGCGCCCCGCAAACGTCTCCCCCCGAAACGTCTCCCGACCCGCGCGCGCCCCGCAAACGTCTCCCCCCGAAACGTCTCGCGCTCGCGAGCACCTTCTCCGGATCCGAGCGCGCCCCGCAAACGTCTCCCCCCGAAACGTCTCCCGACCCGCGCGCGCCCCGCAAACGTCTCCCCCCGAAACGTCTCCCGCTCGCGAGCACCTTCTCCGAACCCGCGCGCGCCCCCGCAAACGTCTCCCCCCGAAACGTCTCCCGACCCGCGCGCGCCCCGCAAACGTCTCCCCCCGAAACGTCTCCCGCTCGCGCGCACCTTCTCTGAACCCGCGCGCGCCCCGCAAACGTCTCCCCCCGAAACGTCTCCCGACCCGCGCGCGCCCCGCAAACGTCTCCCCCCGAAACGTCTCCCGCTCGCGCGCACCTTCTCTGAACCCGCGCGCGCCCCGCAAACGTCTCCTCCCGAAACGTCTCCCGACCCGCGCGCGCCCCGCAAACGTCTCCCCCCGAAACGTCTCACGCTCGCGCGCACCTTTTCCGGATCCGCGCGCGCCCTGCAAACGTCTCCCCCCGAAACGTCTCCCGACCCGCTCGCGCCCCGCAAACGTCTCCCCCCGAAACGTCTCCCGACCCGCGTGCGCCCCGCAAACGTCTCCCCCCGAAATGTCTCCCCCGATACGTCTCCCGCTCGCGAGCACCTTCTCCGGACCCGCGCGCGCCCCGCAAACATCTCCCCCCGAAACGTCTCCCGACCCGCGAGCGCCCCGCAAACGTCTCCCCCCGAAACGTCTCCCGCTCACGCGCACCTTCTCCAGACCCGCGCGCGCCCCGCAAACGTCTCCCCCCGAAACGTCTCCCGACCCGCGTGCGCCCCGCAAGCGTCTCCCCCCGAAACGTCTCCCGCTCGCGCGCACCTTCTCTGGACCCACGCGCGCCCCGCAAACGTCTCCCCCCGAAACGTCTCTTGACCCGCGCGCGCCCCGCAAACATCTCCACCCGAAACGTCTCCCGACCCGCGCGCACCTTCTCCGGACCCGCGCGCGCCCCGCAAATGTCTCCCCCCCAAAACGTCTCCCGACCCACGCGCGCCCCGCAAACGTCTCCCCCCGCAACGTCTCCCGCTCGAGCGCACCTTCTCCAGACATGCGCGCGCCCCGCAAACGTCTCCCCCTGAAACGTCTCCCGCTCGCGCGCACCTTCTCCGGACTCGCGCGCGCCCGGCAAACGTCTCCCCCCGAAACGTCTCCCGACCCGCGCGCGCCCCGCAAACATCTCCCCCCGAAACGTCTCCCGCTCGCGCGCACCTTCTCCGGACCCGCGCGCGCCCTGCAAACGTCTCCCCTCGAAACGTCTCCCGCTCGTGCGCACCTTCTCCAAACCCGCGCGCGCCCCGCAAACGTCTCCCCCCGAAACGTCTCCCGACCCGCGCGCGCTCCGAAAACGTCTCCCCCCGAAACGTCTCCCGCTCGCGCGCACCTTCTCCGGACCCGCGCGCGCCCCGCAAACGTCTCCCCCCGAAACGTCTCCCGACCCGCGCGCGCCCCGCAAACGTCTCCCCCCGAAAAGTCTCCCGCTAGCGCGCACCTTCTCCAGACCCGCGCGCGCCCCGCAAACGTCTCCGACCGAAACGTCTCCCGACCCGCGCGCGCCCCGCAAACGTCTCCCCCCGAAACGTCTCCCGCTCGCACGCACCTTCTCCGGACCTGCGCGCGCCCCGCAAACGTCTCCCCCCGAAACGTCTCCCGCTCGCGCGCACCATCTCCGGACCCGCTCGCGCCCCGCAAACGTCTCCCGACCCGCGCGCGCCCCGCAAACGTCTCTCCCCGAAACGTTTCCCGCTCGCGCGCACCTTCTCCGGACCCGCGCGCGCCCCGCAAACGTCTCCCCCCGAAACATCTCCCTCTCGCGCGCACCTTCCCCGGACCAGCGCGCGCCCGCAAACGTCTCCCCCCAGAACATCTCCCGCTCGTGCGCACCTTCTCCGGACCCGCGCGCGCCCTGCAAAAGTCTCCCCCCGAAACGTCTCCCGACCCGTGCGCGCCCCGCAAACGTCTCCCCCTGAAACGTCTCCTGACCCGCGCACGCCCCGCAAACGTCTCCCCCCGAAACGTCTCCCGACACGCGCGCGCCCCGCAAACGTCTCCCCCCGAAACGTCTCCCGACCCGCGCGCGCCCCGCAAACGTCTCCCCCCGAAACGTCTCCCGACCCGCGCGCGCCCAGCAAACGTCTGCCCCCGAAACGTCTCCCGACCCGCGCGCGCCCCGCAAACGTCTCCCCCCGAAACATCTCCCTCTCGCGCGCACCTTTTCCGGACCCGCGCGCGCCCCGCAAGCGTCTCCCCCCAAAACGTCTCCGGACCCGCGCGCGCCCCGCAAACCTCTCCCCCCAGAACATCTCCCGCTCGTGCGCACCTTCTCCGGACCCGCGAGCGCCCTGCAAACGTCTCCCCCCGAAACGTCTCCCGCTCGTGCGCACCTTCTCCAAACCCGCGCGCGCCCCGCAAACGTCTCCCCCCTGAAACGTCTCCCGACCCGCGCGCGCCCAGCAAACGTCTCCCCTGAAACGTCTCCTGCTCGCGCGCACCTTCTCCGGACCCACGCGCGCCCCGCAAACATCTCCCCCCGAAACGTCTCCCGACCTGCGCGCGCCCTGCAAACGTCTCCCCCCGAAACATCTCCCTCTCGCGCGCACCTTCCCCGGACCCGCGCGCGCCCGCAAACGTCTCCCCCCAGAACATCTCCCGCTCGTGCGCAACTTCTCCAGACCCGCGCGCGCCTTGCAAACGTCTCCCCCCGAAACGTCTCCCGACCCGCGCGCGCCCCGCAAACGCCTCCCGCTCGCGCGCACCTTCTCCGGACCCGCGCGCGCCTTGCAAACGTCTCCCCCTGAAACGTGCTAGCACGCTCTGCTGCGCTGCTAGCACGCTCTGCTGCGCTGCTAGCACGCTCTGCTGCGGTGCTAGCACGCTCTGCTGCGTTGCTAGCACGCTCTGCTGCGTTGCTAGCACGCTCTGCTGCGTTGCTAGCATCCTCAGCTGCGCTGCTAGCACGCTCTGCTGCGCTGCTAGCACGCTCTGCTGCGCTGCTAGCACGCTCTGCTGCGCTGCTAGCACGCTCTGCTGCGTTGCTAGCACGCTCTGCTGCGTTGCTAGCACGCTCTGCTGCGTTGCTAGCACGCTCTGCTGCGTTGCTAGCACCCTCAGCTGCGTTGCTAGCACGCTCTGCTGCGTTGCTAGCACGCTCTGCTGCGTTGCTAGCACGCTCTGCTGCGTAGCTAGCACGCTCAGCTGAGTAGCTAGCACGCTCAGCTGCGTTGCTAGCACGCTCAGCTGCGTTGCTAGCACGCTCAGCTGCGTTGCTAGCACGCTCTGCTGCGTTGCTAGCACGCTCTGCTGCGTTGCTAGCACGCTCTGCTGCGTTGCTAGCACGCTCTGCTGCGTTGCTAGCACGCTCAGCTGCGTTGCTAGCACGCTCTGCTGCGTTGCTAGCACGCTCTGCTGCGCTGCTAGCACGCTCTAATGCGCTGCTAGCACGCTCTGCTGCGCTGCTAGCACGCTCTGCTGCGCTGCTAGCACGCTCTGCTGCGCTGCTAGCACGCTCTGCTGCGCTGCTAGCACGCTCTGCTGCGCTGCTAGCACGCTCTGCTGCGCTGCTAGCACGCTCTGTTGCGTTGCTAGCACGCTCTGCTGCGTTGCTAGCACGCTCTGCTGCGTT